CTTGATAAAGTATAATAGGCTTTTGTTTATCCATCTATCTTGGGGCATTTTGGATTGAAAAGACAGTCACGTATTTAGTTAAAAGAAAAGATAGTAAAAAGTAAATTTATATGAGAATGACGAATGGTTTTAATTTTATTCTAACAGCAAACAGATCTGTTATTATAATTTACCTATAAGTCTGTGTTGTGTTCCTAACAAGCTGTTTAACAAGTCGTAAACTTACATCATTATTGCAATGAAATTGAAAGAGCAGTTGTGATTCGTCATTCAAAAGGACCCTTTTATTTAGCAAAATGTCAAATAGCTGCCGTTGAACAAGTATTACACAATAAATTAAATCAGATTAACACTTACGTCGCGGGGCGCTTCATGAAAGCTTTTTAATCAAGATTAGGGTAACAAAAAGTAATTCTTTCTATTTAAATTTGGTATTGACAAAAGGGACCCCAAAATCCTATTCGGATAAAAGAATCACACATGTCCATTACAACCCTTTGTACAGATTACATCTTGCTGTGAATACAGGAGCGCGTGAAAATAACTATAAAAGTTTGTCGAACTATTATTATTTCGTTAAGTAGCAAAAAATAAATGACTGTAAATGTTTTAAATTTTTTTGTTTAATTGTCACTCAGAGAGTCAGTATCAGTAGATATTATTTGTGAAAAATTGTATTCGATACGGATTAGATCTATTTGGTAAAAAGCTCTTAGCGTATTACTATATGAATATAATTTATCACATCCAGTGAGTTTTATGTTGTATTTCCTTTGATACATTATATGGTAAGCGAGCTTGCATTTGAGCGTAAGTACTTTTGCGCTTTATGACACGATCGATGTCTCAGCGAAGTCACTTGCCTATGAAACTGTTTAGAGAAAATAGTACGCTTCAATATTCTTGTAAATATTGAGTGTTTATTTTCAATTTAAAAGTTCTGTAAGCGATAGATGCTGTGAGCAAACACCTGTTTTTCAAATATGAATAACGTGGAACATATAATTCTAAAAACTTTATGTGAGAGAAAAAACTGTTATTGATTTGTAACTTATTTAATAGCTGCCAAGTATCCTCCAAAAATTACGTGATAATCAAAACAATCACATGTTCGTAAAGCCTTAAATATAAACTTAAATTACAATGAAAGGAAAAGCTTACATTCTTAACGAGGACCATAAAAGGTCTTCGGCGAGAGGTTGTACCTTATTAGCCCCAGCTATTGTTTCCCTACAACGTGCCGTTGCGGTTTCCCCTGTGCTACCACATGCTGCGCAGTTAGTCCCTCCTAATTAGAAGGGTCTGTGGCGAACCACGGGCGAGGAAACTATCGGTAAATATGATCGTGGTTATTGTGTGCAATATGACTAACGAGCCCGACAAAGAACGAGTAGCGCATTGAATATTCAAATGGTAGATGTGCATTGCAATACTGATAAAGCCATGCGTACTTTAATACTCTGCATTTCATGCTTCGCTGCTAATATTTGATTCTACAAATAAAGTTAGACATTTTCAAGACTGAATTACTGTCATAGCTGTATTGGAAATATTCATATTCAAAGTTCTATCGTTTGACAACTTTTGTACAGTATCGATTCATAAAGTTTTTATAGAACTCTTTTTTCGTAGATACTCTGTGTTTGCTTCGTCAACATGCAGTTCATTTTCTTCTAACAGATGTTCCTGATTTTAGGTTGTTACGTTTAATCTGTCTTTGATCCCGAATCTCTACCGTTACAACTTTTGGTTTGCAAAATTGTGATTAAAAATATTAGTAGTTAGTTAATAAAAATATAAATTACACAGTCGATGTAAATTATGCATCGCAGAATATCAAGTATTATATAAAATGAAGTTAATATTGCGAGGTAAATCTATTATTTAACAGAAAGAAAACACAAGACGGAAAACATTAATCATGTTGTCGACCCATCCAGCAATTTGCGAGTTTTTTTACTCCGATTCCATTTTAGTTACGGGACTGACAAGTGTTTGTTGAGGAAACACTTTCCGCGTCTGCTTGTTAAATGATCGTATTTTTCCTAGTTCCCACCATGGTATTGATTTACTGACAACATTGCTTGAAAAAATTATAAAAACCCAAGGTAATTATTTTCATGCAAAGTAAAAGAAACAAACAATTCTTGAATTAGGCGCAGACCAGTTATTATTTTTCGTGCAGAATACTAAACCTTTAAACCTTTAAGAGTTCCTCCAATAGATTACCCTTCTGTTGGAAGACTCCTTCCGAGGAACTGTCATTTTGAAATAAAAGTTGCTCTAAATCTTAAATTGGAGCACTAGAATCCATTGACCGCGAAGTTAATGCCCTTTAACGGGACAATGCAAAGTAAAATAAAGAGGGCGGCGATTGAGTATAGTAGACAAATCTGGTCGATGTCGGCCGCGACAGGGGGACGCCAACGCAACAGTAAATTTACTTGGCGCCAAGTTGTCGGCGCAAATCTCAGATCACCCTATTTTTCTAAATTGACCCTCAATATTTCTAGCTCACATATAGAATTACAACAACCCCAAAATATTAAAGACAAGAGTCTGAGTCGAATCAAACCCAAATGTTTAAGTAGTCAGAGTTGGAAACCCTATAATTATTATGTGAAAAATAATTCAAATAATGTGAATTTATAATTTTTCATGTTTGTGAAACAGAAAAGATAACTTTAACAATTTTATTCGAAAGAATGTTTTTACAGCAGTTTGCATTTCCTTTGATGTAAGGCAGCTCTGAGTTATAGAATGTTTGTTCAACATTTGCAGTTTTTAAATAAATAAATTCTTTCTGAATTTATCATAGGATAATATTTACAGTACGTACTCAAATATCGTGTTTTGCCGCACGGGCTGAAATCGAATTGATGCGGTTTGCGATGCGGCCGTGTGGAATGCACGAACTGAAAATATCGCCATCTAAATGTGAGTGAGAATTCGAATAATACTTATGTGGTGACGTAAGATTTTTCCTTTACTTCTTTGAAGACACGTCTACGGCCAATTTACTCGATCTTTTGAAAACACGTAACCCCAATAAATCCAGGTGCCAATCTTTGATTGGATATTTATTTTTATCGAATGCCATCTTTTTATTTTTGTCTTTTCGGGTGATTTGTTACAAATATTAGGACATTTATTAGAAGAGAATGATGTATGACGTTAGATTATTTTGTCCATTATTTCACGATTCTAGACATATTTCAAGTTAAACACTTTCGTGAATTTCTGAGGTTTGTAAGTAGTGTGTTTAATTGGAATTGTTTATTTTTTTATGAAAAAGTAATAAGTATATTCATATTTTACCATAGTCTAACAAATAGCTGGGAGATATTACACTTTCGTGATATTTATTGCTTTAACTTCATTCGCACTCTCAGCTTATATTGCATTTAGCAATAATTTAGTTCATTTGAGTGCAAAAGTTCTTAACTTATGAGCAGTGTAACTGAAAACGCAGGCGTGGATTTTGCCTGCAACTAATTTTAATCTACACATATCACCTTTCCTTATTTTGTTCTTTATTGCTTCAAAGCTTTTATCGGAATACAAGATTTTGGTATGAAATCAAATTGTTTGATTATGCCACCAACGGATATTTAGAACTACTTTATGTCTTTGGAAAAGAGGTTTGAAAATATAAAGAAGACGCATAGTTGAAACTTCACTTAAGATATTTGTATCACTAACGCTTCATTTTTGTTCCAGAAATCTATAATAAACTTAGATTGTCTATTAGAAATCTGTACCCTTAAGTAACCTTAAAATAAGCGTGAGCATGCCAAAATGAACTTTACCTTTAATACAGCAAATGCCAAAGGCCAAGAGAAAACACACCCCCTCAATGAAGGTTAGCGTTCGTATTTACATAAGACTTAGTCTTTAACATTGTTTTATTGTGATTGAAATAAGAGGTCATTTTTCAAATCCTACTTACCATCAATTTACTATATAGTATTTTACTGCTTTTCAAGAGGTTTAAATTCTACTAGTTTAAATTCACAACAATTTATTAATTCACTTTTCATTCACTGAAGTATTATTATTATTTTTTATAACATAAGGTGGCAAACGAGCAAGCGGCCACCTGAAACCGCCAAAATGGCGAAGCGACCGATGCCCATAAACATCCGCAATTGAAGATGCGTTGCCTACCCTTATACGACGGAGGAGGAGACGCACATAAAGAGGATATTTCCCCTTCCTATGCATCTCCTCCACCGTCAAATCCACTTCCTCTTCCCAACCTCTTCTTATAAGAAAAGGGTGGTAAAGAGAAAGGGACTTAATTAGGCCTCCGGCACCACACTCATCAGACGAAACACGGAATTGCTTCCATTTCACGCCTGTCTTCTGTGTGGTCGTGGTATTACACCGGGCGTGCCGGCCTATTCGTGCTAAGATGTTAAAGCGGGCACTACCACTGTTGAAAATCTTTTTATCTACTCTAAATTATCTACTCGAAACAATTAAATTGTACGATGCGTTCAAAATTATCTTTATTTAGTAAGCCGTAAGGTTTATAAGAAAACAGAAAAGTCGACAACCTTGACATAACCTCTATCCTACATCTCACCCCCTTCCTTTTCCCAACTGACTGATATATTTTAAATGCATGCTGGAGCTCTTACCAAAATTACAAATATTTAAAAATAGGAATGGAGAAAATATCTTTTTGAAGATAAAACGTATTCTCTGTAGCATACTTGGCATATTTAGAAAGAGAAATGGCGTTATAAAAGAAAAATATTAGAATAAAACGGAATTAATTAATGCTAAATGACGAGACAATTTTTTTGTCGCGAAAGTTCCGACCTGTCACTTAGGTTCCTTTATTACAAGTACCTTCATCCAAATTGCTTTTCCACATTACTGTATGTTCTTTTTATTATAGTCCATTACAGTAAATTTTAACTGAAAAATCATGTACAAAACTATAATTTTATCTGTATACCTCTTGGTTCTAAGGTATGTTTTGTTTGTTTCAGTTCCTAGCGCTAGTAAACAGAAACATGGTGGCCAACATGAGCTTGCAGTACCGACAGATGACAATGTTCGCACCGACTAACGAAGCCTTCCAGAGATATAACGACGAAATGGACGACAATCTTGTACTGTACCACATATGTAAGTTCACGATCTATTTATCGTAGCAACTGTTTTTAAATTTTAGTTTACTGCAAATAAAACTTCTAATGTGAATAAGGAATATTAATAAACACGTTGTCGAAACCAAATATCGCTTTTATATACGCTAAAGAGGCATTGAATTGGAAAGATGTTAGCTGTTGATTTTGTGTAGATGTAAAGAAAACTTGTAGGGTGTTTTAACTCGTTAGTTACTTTTCAGCCAACTTAGCAACAACTCTAACAAACTTAGACTACTCGATATCATCAGAGTTAGACGGCAATCCACCACTTTGGATCACACGACGACGCGATACAATGCACGATGATATTTACGTGAACAATGCTAAAGTATACATCACAAGGTCATATCAAGCTGTTAATGGAAAAGGTAAACTACAGGTAAGGTGCAATCGATTTTTTATTTTTACTTTTCATATCAAATAAGCGAAACAAATTGAATGATAAAGCAAACAGCGTAACAACTGTTATTCAAACAAGTTCATGTTAGCGTGAACCTACACTGCTGATACAATTATTTTACATTTTATGTTCTGTGTTATATCAAAGGAAATAAAGGAGATGACAGTATTTATTAATAGAAATCTGGAGAAGTGAAGTTCTACGCTTAGGGATTCTAAGGCTTTTCGTACACAAGGAATGAAAACATCAGAAACTAACATTCTATGCTTGCGTCATGACTATAGCGTAACTCGCAGTCTGTACACACTATACTAAATCGTCGACGTGAGTTGTCTTTTTGGTATAATGACCATTGCACATAGGCATAGGGTCAACTTACAAAATGTCATCTGTAAAGATTTGTTTTGCCATCTTAAAAGTCGTAACAACTGTTCTTGACAAACAAGCGTTGCGAGGCTATGGCGACTACCGATCAAAATGTCGGCGACACATGCCTGTGTACGACATTGTTTTGCATAAGTCGCTTAGCGACTAAACTCGCTTTATGTACAAAGGGCGTAAAAGTTAGTTCTAATGATATATTTGATCTACCAATCAATACGGTATGAATGGTACTAAAACAAATTTATATTAAATATTCAGATATAATCAGTTAATGTTACCTAAATCTTTTTTCTAGTATTTTAGTAAATTGAGGTTATTACAATTTTATTCTATTCATAGACTGCCAGTCATTAATATGAGTATAAAACTTTGTTCTCATGGTATATTGTACATTAAACAATAAAAAATAAGCGAAATAATTCATAAGTAATGTGCCTTATATCTCTCTTAATTAATACAGACTATTAATACGTTCTCAAGAGTCCAATTAATAACAAATAAATCCATTTAATATTCAGGACACATTGCGTAAAATCATTCCGGGCGACATTATGGCTGGATTCCATGATTGTTCATTAAAAGGCTTGTAAGCGAGTTCATTATGCAAATTTTGTGCTAAATAATAAAGTTTGTTCAGTGATTTCTGTGCCATTACACGTAACCGATGTGTTGTGAATTGAAATCTTCAGAGCATTAGCCTAATGTGTTTAATTGATGTAATTGGAGTATGGCAGATGTACGCTGTGGTCCTAATGGAGTGGATTGATTCATTAGAGATTAACGCCTTGGTATCAAAGTCACTAATGTTAGAATTTGAATTGATAATTTGTGTCTAAATATTAAAGGAAATTATTAAACTATGAAATTCATATACTATTTACTGAGACACTCAGTTATTTAATTATCACTAAGAGTCGTTTGAGTTACTCTTAAACTGATCTAAGTGACCTAGTCTTGAAGATGTATAAGTATAATTTTAATCAATAAAATGTACTGTTCTTAATTATTTTTTTTTAATTTCTTTGTCGTAGGTTCTCCATGTAATAGATCAAGTACTGCAACCTCTGCAGCCGCTTGGACCGATGTCAACGACAAATCCCGTCTACAATCCAAATGCCTATCAATTTTTAGAGCATTCCGATATATTCAATATCGGCCAGCACAGATTAAGGTAATAAACATTTGAACATCAATAGTTATTGAACAGGTTATAAAAATAAAACGTTAATTATTGTGATCATTGACGTGTTTTGTACAAGTACATATTGACATCTCTTTCATTGTATAAGAAAAAATTGAGATAACAATATAAGTCCGGGTGTTTGTTACAAGTCACGGTTACAATAAACGCAAAGTGCAACTTAACAGGCAATAAACTGCTCCACTAAAGAATGACCTTAATGATCAAATTTGATGGATTACTTTTTATATTTTTGGTTTCTGATCCTGCATTTATTTTGAAATAATAAACGACAATGCTGAAATTATACTTTTGCGTGTATTAATAACGTAAAAGAAACTTCGAGCGCTTTTTAAACTGAACATAAAATTTTCTTATCCAAAATAGTAGTAGACTTTCACTGTTTTTTACTATTAATATTACAATATCTTTTACAAAAAAACATAAGTATATTATTATAAAATTATCACGTTTCAATTATGACGACTCAAGTATTATTTGAAAATAATAATTTTTGTTTACGAAAAATCTGTACAAAAGACGTAGTCGTGTTTTAATCTTTTACCTTTCCGTAAAGATTACAGAAAACTCATTAAGCAACGTATTCCGCAGGTCTTTTCGGCAAAAAGTAAATCAACTTCAAAAGAAGGAAGTTTTCAACGCTGATGGGAGGCATACATTTTTTATACCAGTGGAAGAAGGATTTAAGGTATGAGATTTGAAATTGAATTACTTCCGGATTTTATTGAAATTTCATCTAACAAACGGTTGTAATTGGATTGTAATTAAACATTAAGATGAAAGAACATTTTTACTAACGATCATAACTTTGTTTTACTGAAGCTCACAAAAACATTAATCAATGCCTCTCAATGTAGATTTGGTACGGGAAATTTACAATAAAGATTCTCTTAGTGACCACTTAATGTCTACAATACATTTAAATTTTATCATAATAAAATTTGATATTTCATTACAGCCAACTGCCCGTTCAGATTTCATAGATGAGAAAGTGATAGACGGTCACGTTATACCACATCACGTTTTGTTCACTAAAGCGACACCAGAGAGCCAGGAGTTTGAGAGTTTGGCATTCAGTGACAACGTTAAAGTGATCATATCCTTTAGTGTTGCTGTTAATGGACAGGAAGAATTAAGTAAGTTATTAAAAAGAACAATAAAATAGTTAAAGGAAAGCGCCAATAGCCTAATGGTTTGGGGTATGGACTACCGATCTTGCGGTCGAGGGTTCGAATCCCGCCATTCGACTATTGTCGTGAACCATATCCTAGCACAAGCAATTAGCTTAGTTGGGATTGTTAAAGGAAATATTAGTAATTTAACAAAAATCTACTAATATTTTTACTAAAAAAAAACAACTTGGGGAAATTACGATTTGAATGACCCGCTTCTAAATCAGTTTAGGTGAGATGACCATACAAATCTACCAGTCTGTTGACGTAGTACGTTGTTACTAAAATGAACTGAGACAAATAAAACTTTAATAGTTAATGCTTCTTTTATCAATATTTTAATATTGTGTGTTTTTAACAGCTTATGTGAAGTCAAATACGGTTGCTGGTGATGCGAAACACACCAGAGGCGTTGTACTTGCTGATATCGTCAGAGCGAACATACCAGTTAAGAACGGCGTAGTACATCTAATTCAGAGGCCTTTGATGGTCGTTGATACCTCCGTTATTGATTTCCTGAAGGTAAGCATTGACATCTACGACCCACCACGAAAAGAGTAACATATCTTAATAAATATAACAATTTTCATTAGATGGGTCCTATTGTATGTTGCATGATTTTGTGTTAACAATTGAAATGTCCAATGATTTATTTGATTTGGTAAAGAAAATAAGAATTACTTTCAATAGGTCAGGTAAAATGGGTTTTCAAAGTTAAGATAATTATGGTCCTGGAATAAACACATACACTAAAACATGCACACTTTATATTGTATATCTATCTATCCTACTAACTTTTTTATTTGGAGTTTTGTTTTAAGTTGCTTTTTACATTATGCAATAAAATATGAACCAATTTTGTTGACGTTTTGTCGTTACTTTTCGCTACATTTATGTGGAAACCAGGCAATGAAGGTAACATGAATATGTTTGCTTTTTAATCAGGTTTTGTGAGTGTCTTTTTACTCTTTATTATTTCATTACTCCATGAGTACGGAATTTCATCGATACTTTGGCACGGTTTAATACATTTTATTACAATTCTAAGTTATAGCAGAACAGAAATTTGTGTATCTTTTTAGTAGTATTTTATTAATACATCATGTTTTCGCTCTTTTTTGATATATTTTTCAAATATTTTTAATATTATTTTATGTACACTGGACGCTGCAATACTTATTTGATTTCTGTATTTTTCTCCTTACTTTATTATTTTTATCTTAACATTTCACTAATGAGGTTTAAAGGTATGTATAGTTCTAATTGAACCTACAAATATTTTGTTTACCTACTCATTTTGTTTTATCTTTTTTATTTATTATTTTTTAACCGTAAAAGGTACAAAATCTGGTGGCATTGGAAGAGCAAGAGAGTACCATGAGTTCAGAACTAAATATAACGGTACATGAATTAGAAATTTTAGTACTGAATTATTTTATTTATAAATATATTATGTAAACAATATTTATCACTCTGTTTCATGTATTTATGCGTCCTCCCCGTGGATCCCGCATGACATTAACAACTTTAGGGTATTGTAAGTATTAATTCACGTAGCATGAACTTTCGTAGCATCCCCGCTAAAGCATTATAACTATACTAATGTTTTATTTAACATTTATAATTTATCGTTTTGTAGAATTAGTACTTTTAAATAAGGTAAGTATATGTATAATCAAATAATCAAAAGTCAAGTTTTAAATAATTTTCTATGGATACCATACGTATTGAAATTTGTTGTTATAAAACTTTTTGTAAGATCTTACTACGATTACGATTTGAGAATGTTAGATGGATGGATGGATAGATGAATGAAACTTTATTAGAAATTATCTATTAACTATAAGGGTTAACAGATTTCGATGAAAGCATTAAATAATTATTTTTTTAATTTCGTACGGATGAAGTCGCGGATAATGCGTCACAATGTGCTGCTTTTGTCTTTGGTGTTTTCACAGTGCATAATAGACTCACTATTTTTAGATCTACGAAACTAAATATCTTTATTAGGAACGTATCGCACAATTTATCGCTTTTTCAGTATCATGACAAGAGCTAACTTATTAATTGTGTTAGATAATGTACCAATTTATTAATATAAATAATGAATATGGTAACATAATTGCAGGAGAAGGAAGACGGTCCCCTTTGCAAGTTCTATGAGGTAATAATGGACTTGGGTGAAAACAATCAGTTCCTCAACGAGTTAACTGTGGCAAAGGATATAACTTTGTTCGCACCTTCTAACGAAGCTTGGAACGAGAATAGTGTTCAGAATATTATTAGGTAATTGAAATAAAGTTTTAATGTGGAATTCGACTGTGACATAGTCTGTCTCTGTTTTGTCAAAGCGAATGAACAGGACAACATGTAACTCAAGTTTCACGGCAGTAGAGTTCTACGGTTAGAGAGTCTTAATATGTAGATGACAAACTACTTTTATCTCTATCGTATTTATGATTTTGATACTAATTACTGTGTTTTTATTACAGAAACCACCAAAAACTAAGGGAAATATTAAAGTTGCATTTAGTGAGAGAAAGGCTACCACTAGATGCCATTATTCACAATAACATGAATCAGGTCTGTAAAAATTATTTACATTTTGTATTTCATAACATTGGCACAGTTTGTATTCTACTCTATAACTTATTTCGTGAATATTATTCAGACTGTTTATATTTATAAATTCAACGTTCGTATTTGATTTTAAACACTATATTAAAAAAAGGTATAATGATTTAAAAATGATTTTACGTAGGCATCTTAATAAGATATTTATTTGAATATTATTAAAATTCATCTATTCGATGTTTGTTTTACGTCGGCTGCCGCTATCGGAACAGCTTCCAGGATCTGTACGTTTATATTTATTTACAAATATCCAACTAAATGTATTAGATGAACGTATTTATGTGACTTTTGTTTCTTAGTTCAGTTATCAGTGTCGTTATAAAGGCATGAAGAAATGGTGTAACAACCCTTTTTATTTCCTTCGCTATAAGCATGCGATGATTTGTGCAAATAGAACTTATGTTAGAATATATACGTCTTTGTTTTTTATATAGCGAATAACAAGGATAACAATATTTTTATGTTAGACAATGTACAGGTTGATGCAAAATCCTGATTCAATGTTCTAATAGTCAAGAGTACGTGTGGCACATCATACGATATGTATTTTAGAGTCGAATAAAAGTTACAAGATTTAAAAACAAAGATTTCGAAATTCGCACGACAGAAACTTTTATTCAGCTTCAAAATACACACCATATGTATCACACGTAGATATTGAAGGCAAGACTTCAAAGTAATTTGGGCATCATCCTTTATAGTGGAAATATAGTACAAGAGTCTTATAAATGTATGTTTATAGATATACCAAGCACCGACCGCCGCTGCACGCAAGTATCTCTACTTTAATGTAGTGAACAGTAATTCGAATCAGACGCTAACTGTGGAGGGCGGTGGAGTGAACGCTACAGTCACGCAGCCCAACATTGCGGCAACTAATGGATTTGTACACATCATCGACAGAGTACTAGGTGTACCGTACACCACTGTGTTCGAGAAAATAAGAACTGACCCAATGCTCAAGTAAGTTGTTTTAGAATTGCAAACAATGTACCAGTAAAACAAGACTTTAATTTTCATACATTATATTAGACGACTTTATCATTAAAAAGGGATACTCTAAGTTCAATGTTTAACTTTTTATTTTATGTGTATATTAAAGTTAATATTTTTGTTGTACAGCGTAACGTATAACTTGGGAAAGCGGCAAATGTTTAATCATCAACTGAATGAAATGGAACATAGGTATACGTATTTTGTGCCGCGGGATCACGCCTGGCTGAAGTTCCAAATTAGGCACCCGTCTGCTTACAAGGCTTTGTTCAGGGAGGATTATGGTTATTACGTAAGTAGATAACAAAACAATTAACAATATAAGACAGTTGACGACTATAAAATACCACAAAAAGTTTTCTTTAAGATTGTGCCATTTTAATGCGAATGAACCTAATAAGTTATTAAATACTACCTTTCGCTCGCGACACCGTCCGCGTGGAATCAAAAAAAAACAAAAGTGGGTAGCCTATGTGTTCTTCTAAACTATCATCTACGTCTATACCAAATTTCATCAAAATCTGTTCAGCCGTTTAGACTACAAACTATAACAAACAGTATATCAGTAAGATTTCAATACTGTAAAGTGAGATTACCTTTATAATAGAATAATAATGTTTTAGACTAAACAAATTTTGGAAAGACATGTGATTAGAGCAGGAAGATCTTACACCGTGTCCGATTTGAAACTAATGGCGAACGAAACTCATCCCATTATCTTACCAACCACACGTGATCCTCTTAAACTACGAGTGAAGGAATCCGACAAAAGTAAGTGCCCCTTTAGAATGCCTTTATTCAAGGAAATGCAATTCAACTCATATGATGTCAACATCACTTAACATTAAAGCAAGGAGATTCTTATTGGCTGTTTTTCACAACTTGGTTTTCTCTAGGGAATGTTTATTTGTGATATCTGATATATGTAATGTATTAATGGTTAGAAATTATTTTCACAATTAAGGTTTTTTTTTTCGAATAAAAAACTATCATCGAATGTTTAAATCGTATTTTGTTTTTACCATTTTCATTTGTTTTCGTACTATTTTAACACAAACCAACGTCTAATTTCAGTTTTTCCTTTACGATTATTGATAAACATTTTTTCAATGACAATTTTCTCCCACAGACTATTACGTGGAATGGAACGGGCATTGGATTCACGTGTTCAGACCGGACGTGGAGTGCACTAACGGCATTATTCACGTAATAGACGAACCTTTTGTCTTGGAGAGCGACATACGACTCACAGGCAGTGCTGAAAAAACCCGCGTAGCGTACACATATTTCTTACTCTTCGTTTCCTATATGTTCGTTAAAATTTTAGGCAATTGAGTTAACGATTCCTTGTTAGTCCCGATTATTCTAAAAACAGTATTGTAATTTATTTTCTAACATTAAATAAATCAGTTATCTAAATCATAGAACAAAACATTCGTTTTAAAATCAAACAAAAATATCAACTTCAAATAATACAGGGATGCACTTATTTGGAATAGAATTAATTTTCTGATATCCGGCGTTTTTACATTTTTGAATTATACAATTTTATTATATGACTCGGTTTTATTAAACTTTTGAATGGTTACCAGTATATTACAATAAGGGATTGATATTAAAAAAAGGCGTTACTAACGAAGATTACAAGTACTTATCATATATAGATACTGCCATAAAATTGATCTACGTCGTAGCAATTCTAACATAATTATACAACTTTGAATATACATATAAATGTTTGAAATCGCTTATCGCTGATACTGTTCTCACTGTAGTATTTTAAACGAATTTGTAATAATTAAATTAGATAAAAAAATTTAATGTGGTTATAAAATTATAATGCGTATACACATTTAATAGATAATATTGGCCAAGTTATAGTAACAATTAATATAATTTATAATTAAATAATACTAGTTCCAATTACGATGTAATAGAATTAACAACTAAAAAACTAGAAGCAGAGCTGAACAACTTTTGACATATGATTAAAATTAATTGCAAATAACATATTTTATATTCTACCTAAATATGTGTCTGTAATAAGGGCTTTTATTCTTTTTTCGTTCAGTTTGTTATTTCTGCTTCGTTTTGTTTATTTTTCAAAATTTAATCATATTTCTTTAATATCATAAACGCGAAAGTTTGGATACATGGATGGTTGTTAGAGTTTGTAGCCTAAACGGATTTGGATGAAATTTGGTATAAACATGGAGGAAAGTCTGGAAAAACACATAGGCTACGCACTTTTGTTTTTATTATTCCAAGCGGTCGGAGTCACGGGCGTAAGCTAGTATGTCATAAAAGTTCTACTTTTATTTCTATATATAAAATGTAATTGGAACTTGTAATTTATTTATATCTCGTTTAAATATTTTCATCTATTCTTTACATACATTCCACGTTATATATATTTGAAATGTATTTAAAACTATTTATAAATGATTATCTATAATGTTGATTACGTAACGAGATTGTTTATTTATTTTTAAAACTTTAGTGATCGTCTATTTATATCGTTAACATCAATATTATATTGCCGTGGGTTTACACTGCAATTGGACTTGTATACATAGTGTCTCTTTCATTCGTTTTGACGGAATACAGATAAATACTATGTCATTACAGTCGAAACCCGCTGTTAAAAATTTTACAGAATAAAAATAATATTGACTTTCGTGAATTCATTTGATGTTTGTATATAAAATGCGTTCGAAACTGCAATTGTGACTATCAAATAGATTTATTAAAATTCTGTAAATAATTAACATAAGTTATTTTAAATGTTCTTAATCTGATTTTACAGAAATCATGAAACGTGGTTGAAATTCTCTCTTAACATTTAATTATAGTTAATTATTTAAAATGACACTATAATTTAATGTTGCTTTTTTAGGTATTTACTGTACTTTAACTTAACTTACTTAAAATATATTAAACGTCTACTATTTTTTTGTTACTAAAATATATTAATATTTATAAAAAGTGCAATAACATCTTACAGATTTTTGGATAATAGTAATATAGAGAAGAGCAACATTATTTTAATGTCACTTTCATAATTAAAATTTTAAATTCCTTTAAGTTCTTAAGTTAACAGTATCATCAGTTCGTATTAACATTTAGTTTAAGTACAAAATAAGTTAATAGAGGTGTGGATCAAACCAAAGTTAAATATTATTCAAGTATTATACTTAATTATGTCTTAATAAAGGACAATGTGAGGGAGCATTATCTGTCCCTTTCTTATTACTCGATTGTTGATAAGATCGTTTCATCTTTCAAGCGTTTCAATGTAGTATGTAATAATCATGACAATATAATTTATATGAAGTATTTAGATAAATCTTTCATAAAAGACGCTAATGTGTCAGCATTACTATAAAACTTCAATCTATTGTCAAATTACTTAAGATTTGTAAGGGAATATGTACCTATCCATCGTGTTTAATAAATAAAGAATTTATAAGTGTGTTTTTTTTCACAATCAACCTTTTTACATAGCACCTTAATTTTTAACATATCATAAATTTAAAAAGTATGTTAATGTGGGGTAAGCAATGATTAGACACGATCAGGGACTTATGTTTAAAAGATGTAAGACTAAAAATATTTAAAAAACATAAAAGAAAACAAATGCAGGCAATACACAAAAAAGCTTCGGATTGTAATTTTGCAGCTCATATTCCTGCAGGCGCTGTGCGGTGAGTACGAATTACATTAAATAATGATTATTTTTATAAACTTACAAATGTATCTTTATAACCAGCTCATTATATGTCCCCACGAAGGGGGCTTGGAACTAACCCTAAGTAACTAGTGAAATTCGAAAATCACATTGGTACTTGTCGGGATTCGTACCCAAACTCTGTAGATTACAGGACAAGTGCTAAAACTCCTGAGCTATGGACGCTGTAAGTGTATCGTCAACTACGAAAAAAACAACTATTAAAATTTGGGTTTTCATGTGATTTTATGTATGCGGGTACAAAAATATTGAACTCGGAAGATCTATTTTAGAAATATCTTACCCCTTGACATGTTACGTAAATATGAGTAAACCTGCAGGCGTATGTGTAGTTGATTCGCGAGCGTGATAGATAAATGTTTGTAGAAATAGTTTATCGTTAATCCCTATCGTTAAGTTTAATAACATAATTTCCGATATGATGATGAACTTTGATACACCGTTCGCAGATAACTCGAGGGTTACAGTAATCTATAACTCGTAGCTATCCATTTCACGCACTGTGTTATTGTATGTTTATTTTTATTTACGGATTAATTTTAACTGAAAAAAAAAATTAATAGCAAATTAGGACTAAAACTCAGAGTCTAGAGGTTTGAAATGCAGTTAGATTTTTTATCTTTAATATTTGAGTAGCTGATAAAACTGGACTTAGCAACAAAATGATCTTTAAAACTTATCTCTATCTGTGATACAGCGAAAAACTTTTTTTTATCTGTTTATTATGAACTTTACAATTTTTTTTATAAAAAAAGTATTTTCATCGTAGCTTGGCCTCACAATGGCGTGGTTTAATAAGCAGTTAATTACAACGCTGCGCTCTTCCTCCCGCGAACTCGTCAGATAAAAACTCATTATAAAAATGTCAGATAAGCCACGGACGCCTGACGAGAGCCTCCATTACTTTGTGTTCCTATTCATGCTATAGAACTTAGAAATTGATAAACTACAATGTCATTTTATAAGTAAATAATGACATATCGATGTTTTAATAATAACATATTGGTAACAACTATTGCAACCTTTCTGACTATTTTATTAACATTTTACTAAATTTAACGAGAAATTCAATTTAGTTGTACGCAACATCTTCCGAGCAAATAAAATGCTATTGAAATGTCTAACGAGTTTTTGTGATGTAACTAAACTACAACAAAGGCAAAATATTACATTATCTTTATGTTGGCACCAAAACTCTCCCGAGTTAATGTACAAACTTTTCAGCATAAGAGCATTTATTTTGTATCTCGTATACACTAGGAAATATATTCGTAAAATAGGTGAAGTAAAGGTTGTTCGTTGTAAATTACCACTTAGAGAATGTTTTTAACTAATTTTACAGTTTAAAAACCTTATGATTCAGTTTATCGTATAAAAAACAAAAATAAACATTTATGATAAAAATAAAAAACCATAAAATGTCACACGTTGTTTAATTATTTTTCTATTGTACATTATACTTCAATATAAATATCATAATGTGTACTATTTTACTTTAATTAATAACAAAATACTAAGCGCAAGCCACGCATGTACTGTCTAAATCACAGCGGCACACTTTAAAGGGAAGATTTCCATCAAATGCTTTGTTGTAGTCCCACAAAACTGTCACAGTGCCGCTTACTGAAGGCTCATTTGATTCATTTACGAACTCAAAAGATTCACAATAAACTGTATCAACTAGTAAAGTTGCAATTACAACATTCTCTTTTCCATTGACATTTATTTTACATTTCCAGGGAGTAAAGGCCATGTATAAATAAATCTGTGTTATTTTCACAGATACTTTTTGCCGCTTTCCACTCTTTATTATTAACTCTTGTGTTTCTGCTACTCTTGGACAGAATGTGTCTCCCGACATAAGAGCTGACACGGTCTTCGGATAAATAACATTGTCATTACCACAAGATTGTTTTGTACACCGACTTTTAGTGACACACCATGTGCAAAAACTTTTTCTCAAACAACCAGCGCAAGAAGTTATCGAATTACATTGATCTTCGTTTGATAAACAATAAGGCAAAAATATTAAAAATAATAATAAACATGTTTTAATTTGAATCACATGAGTCTTCATATTTATTAATCTGGAACATAAGAAAATTAGATACAAAAGTTATAAATGACATTGTAAAAGATATTTTTAATATACATTTAACACAGCTTACCTATTCTAAGGTTCAAAGTCAACTGAAAGGAGATGCAAATAATCGTATTTAAAATATTCCCTATACACATGTTAGTATCATTTATAATTGACACACGCATTTCTTGAACTAACGATAATAAGGTTACAAGTATTTATAACACATTGTAATAATTTTCTAAACATAAATAAAGGTATAAACGTTTAACGCATTACTTCTCATATATGGTTAAATCAAATCAGTTCTTTACATTAGGAATGATTTATTAATTCTTACATTATTAAGTTAATTTTATTACCAAACTAGCTTTCGCCCGCGACTCCATCCGCGTGGATTAAAAGAAACAAAAGTGAGTAGCCTATGTGTTCTTCCAGGCTATCCTCTACATCAACACAAAATTTCATCGAAATCCGTTCAGCCGTTTAGGATATAAACTCTAACAAACATCCATCCATCCATCTAAACTTTAATATTTATAATGAAGTATGAAGTATGATGTCTAAATAACAGTAATTAGTAACATACGTCAGTTTGAACATTTTTAATGATTCAATAATGAGAAAAAATCCCCTGAAAATAATTAAATCGTAGTGAAATTTGATACTCGTGTATTCTGTTACATATAGTTAATATCAGAGTTATTAAGAAGGAATGAATGTTCCCAGCATTTGATTCGTAAATAATAATGAGAAAAAGTCCTCGCGAGCGTCACATGGCTTGTTCATTACATTGGCAAATCGAAATTCTTTTTCAATTCCGCGCAGTTTTTTGCGAGTTGTTCGACAATATGAAAATATTGAAAGCGACAAGAAATATTGCGCAATAAAAATTAAAAAAGCTTTTACGACCGTAGTGTAGGGGAATGAGTGGCTACACTAATATAGCATTATTTGCATGTGAATTAATTTTTATACACACATTTATTGAGATTGCTGCAAATATTTTAACGCGGCTTATGCTTACGTCTATGCCAATAGCGAGCTTATTTATTAAAAAAACACGATATTTCATATTGCATTTCATAAAATAGAATACTACAAAGGAGATTCCTTTTCAAAGAAAACTCGTCCGGCAATCAAAGTTATTTCAAAGTCTGCAGATTCCGAGAACATTTATAAACACAAATGCATTCTAAATATTCCATTCAGGTATTTTTCTTTCTACATTTTTATGACACCACTTGAAAACATTGAATGTTATTTTTTTAATGAGAATCCTTTAAAAGGGAAATTAAA